ATATTACTGAGTCGATATTATTGAAAAAGGTATTCTATTCTTCCAATCAATATTTTTATCAGATTTATTGAATTTTTAGTGTCTTAAAAATAAACTTTTACAAGATTTTTTTTTTAATATAAGAGACTAATTAAGTCACAGATATTCGTATACTGTGATATGCAGGCAGATTATATTTTTATTTGATCTTTTAAACGTTTTTACTAAAAACTATATTTTTAAAGCTTAATTGGCACGATTAATGCTAAACAGATTAAATTGAATTTTATTGTATATTTAAAATACGCATTTAAAAAAATATTGCAATATTTTTAAATTAACTATTTTTTTATAGCAGTTAAAATAAAAATGTTAGATAAAAAACAATGTATGTATTTTAAAACTGTGCTGTTTACAAAAAATGTTTTGTTACAGTGTGAAACGTAATTGCACTCAATATTTAATAAGAATTTTTGTTTTTTGTTTTTATATGAGTAGAACTGCTGCAATTACGTCAATGAGCAATATGATTTTTTTAAACGTTATATTCTAAATTATAAAACAAAATAATATTTTACAAACTTTTTAAATGTGAACAAATATATGTATAAAATTTTAGAATAAAATATACAAAAGTTTTCATTATAAAAATATTTTCAAAAACAGACTTCGTTTTTGCATTCTAGAATATGTTCTTAAATACCACTTTTAATATGTCAATATGTTATATATAACAGTTAAAAATTTTATATCGAATTATTAATAATTAAAAATACGACAGTCCGTTTAATGTATTGTCAAACCAATTTTATTTTTACGATTAGAATTTCTATAAATTTCCCCAAACTTGCTATGAATTTTAACCACATCACATTTATGTATTAACGTAGTCAAAGAAGTTGTTTGTGGTGAGAAAGTGTCGGATTTCGTAACACGTACTTTCATGCAAATTCGATTCATCCCATTTTGCTCCTTCGGTAGGAACGCCGGATATAAAGCACAAGGTAATCTCAATGCATCACTACGCTCTTATGCATTCTCATTTTTCTCTGCAATATGAGACACGAGAAAGTACTTTTAAGAGATTTAGAAATACGATTTATATATGTTTGAGACACACCCAGGAATAGATTATTGCCGCCATTATAGAACAAAATTTACTCTGAAAACTCAAATAGCCGTGAAATGGTGGGTGTGTTTTGGGAAATTAGATCGAGTCACGCTGGAGTAATCGAGATTAAAACTAATCTTGAAGTTAAATAACATTCAATCGTAACAAATTCCAAAGAAATTAACAAATACATTGCAAAAAATATTGCAATCTACATTGCGCATCTCGGGAATAAAAGAGATTGGAATAAGAATCTCGGCTCGGCAGAAATATCAAAATTTATCGCGCGGAAATAGGATACAAAGTTGCAGCGTAACTCGATATTCGTCGACCGTAACGCGCGGTTCCAACGCCAAACGGCTATCGTAATTTCAATAATAGCCAATGAGCCGAAAATTAGGACGATCCCGCCTACAGAAATGAGTACAGAAATGAGCGCGAATATTCATAAACGGTGACGCGAATTGATTATTCAGAATAATCCACATCGGACAGAAGTGTTAGAGTACGATGAGTATATTTGCGAATAATGCGAGCCAGTCACCGAGTGGATGTATTGTGACCGAACGTCCAGATGTACGGTTCAAAATGACGGATGTATCGTGTACGCAAAAATGCATATAAATTCTATTTTATCTCCTCTATAGAAATTCGCGGTTTATGTATACATTATGCTTACGCACAAATATTATATATATATATTTGATATAAATGGTTGGACACGCATGAGTATTAATAATCCACACATCGGCCATGATGCTTTTTAAACTTCTTCCCTTATAATGAGTTTGTCAATTACGGGGAGTGCAGCGATAGATCCAGCAATCCATCAATTTGTAAGTTTTGCCCGGAGTACTTTCTACTTCGGGCGCGACAGAGTTAATGATTCTACCTACCCTTTCGAGTCGATAAAACACTTGAAGCGCAAGATATCAATGCTAAAGTGCGTATATAACGCAAATCAAAGGAATTTATTTCAGTCGATATCGGGAGCAATGTTGTCCATTAACGCGTTGATCAAGAGACAAAATAGCATGAATATTATATTAAGCGAACCGTTGGATATATAAGTTCGACATTTATAATTTTAATTAAATTTACGTCATGATTTTATTCACGTATCCGTACACATTTAACTTTTAAAGTAATAAATATACATTACCCGGCTAAATGCTAAATGAAATGCCACGAGAATGCGATATTATAAAAATAGATTGGAAAACTTGTTTCCGACCGTGAAATAAAACATCTCGCTGTATCTTTTGTCTTCCCGACTTTTAGAACGATAAAAACTTGCTGAATTATTTTCCTTTTCATTACTATTATCAATCCTATCGTAATGTTCACTATGCAGTCCTGCACAGCTATGAAAAAGTAAGTTTCACGAAAGTAATTGGAATTCAAGAGCAATTTAAATAACGCTGAAACAATGTTATTTTTGTCAGTTCAATTGGAACAAATTGGTGTGGATGAGAAAAAGTCAAGAACATTTGGAAAAGAAAAAAACTTTCTCGCAACGTGCAAAAATTTTATTGTTTGGCCACTTTTCTGCATAATCCTTGTCGGCTTTAATGCACTTGAGTGCCGCTTTACAAGCTTGTGAATACCGTTCCGGAAGAAAGATTTTGGTTTCGTAGGCAACCGTTCTTGCGGCGCCTTAATGATCCCTTCTAGAAACTTCCGAAATTAAGGCTCATTTAACAAATCAAAAGGATGAAGTCTAAGCTCGAAGAAATTGCGTTTAAGTGAAAAACTTTTAAATGATATAATTCTGCTGTGAGACAATACTCGGTTTAGCGCTTTCTCAGATGAAAAGATCATCGAGGCAAAAGTGGCTTGTGCGTAACAAAATCTCCCTTCTGGAACAGAATTTGCAAATTTATAAAGCGGTGTACCAACCTAAGCGTATTAAAGTCAAAGGAAATTATGTAAATAAAGATCAGAAGAAAATTTTTATAAGCTGCAACGCAGCTTTTCTTTTCTCAAAAGTTTCTTCACTTTTTCGATTTTCCTTCATATTAAATAAATCTTGATCCCAACCTCGCCTGTGTGCACCTCCATTGTCGGGATGTTTACCTCACAGAATTCTAAGTTTATCCGTCCGTTCATGTGAACGCGGCTGTAAGAAAATTTTCTCCGTAGTCGTTCTTTCGCGCTGCGCCCGTCGTCGATCCGCACGTCTCGGCCTATCTCCCTTCTCGAGACCATAATCTTGGCCGAGAGAGGGAATATACGTTATCGTGTGCGCAGATCCGTAAAAATAAGGTCTCGTCTTTCAACACGAAGCAGAACGTATCGAGAATCGAAAAAAAAAAAAGGTGCGAGAGCAGCATCGCACACGCGAGTGTTGGCCAAATACACACGTCGATCCGCTCTTCCGTTTTATAGATATACATATTTTACGGCGCGACGTGTTGTCGTTTGCACATTTTTATATCATATTCTCACGCAACGCGTCTTTTCGACGATTTTCATGAGGAGTCGAAGCTGCGTACACGCCCCGCGGCGAAAGGTAAATTTGTTTCCATTGATTCAGTTTCGCTTACGCCCGGAAAACGTTTTCGCCATAACTCTTTTGCCGTCTAAGCGGTGAGAGAAAAAAAGGAAAATGAGACGTCGAAGAAAAATGCGAAACCCCCCAAGAGTCGACTTTTACTCTCTCTCTCTCTATACTCGCGACGCTGAGCCTTTGGCAAATATTTGCGCTGACTATGTATAGAAGTATGTAAGAGCGAATTTCATCGGTAAACACTTCTAGGCCACGTGTGTAAAATCGAGTGTAAAATCGCAGGGGCGGCAGGTTAATTTTTTATGCAGGCAACGATTGCTTGGCTGAAACACTTCGACGCGATCGTCGACCACAAGCAACGCTGTTCACATTATGCAAATGTCGCGTTTACGCAATTGCACAGGTGGAAGAAAGTTTTAAACGCGGCTGCGAAACGGCATCTCTGTCTTTATTTGCGTCGTGCGTTGAATCACAATCAGCGAGGCGACACTCGGCATTATGATAAATTGTAATGCCGGAAGTTTTAAATTTTATATTTAACGACCGTTGTGTCTGTCGCTTCAAAAGCTTAATATAATTTTGAATATTTTTATGACATAGCAAATTTGTTTTTACATGTGATTCGTTCATGCAATTCACGGCAGGCAATTTAAGGACAAGCGATTCAACAGGTGTTACACTTCGAAATTGCGTGAAGTAAAGAGTCTGAGCGATAAGGAAAACGAGGGTAAAAATAACAATGAATTTGCTGTAGCAAAGAGTTTCATACAATTTCATTAATTTCGATCTCGTTGGTGTCTGACCGCGTGACAAGCTGCGAATGGAACGTGCCGAATAAAATTCAATTCTATTTAATTTCGAACCGCAAACACGCAGTCTGTCAAATGTACGTAAATCAATAAAAATTTTTGGCAACACGCTGATTATATGAATTATTCATGCGAGCTGGTATTTAATGAATAAAAGAATATGTATTCAATATTAATAGAAAATGAACCAGGGATGAAATATTCAAATTATTTACATCACTTATTTTTGCATGTGCATACTGCACATATCGATACCGCTCGCATATTCTCATCGTCTGCGTATATTGCTTCTTTTATTGATTCAGCACCCCCCTCCCTTCCATTCGCGGCGCACAAAACGAATTATTATCGTAAACTGATTAATTGACCAGTATATCCGACGTAATGACGAAAATATTGACGATTCGCGAACAAAACAACATCATTACTGTATTAACGTGAATTCATTTCCGTATTTGTCAGCAACAAACTTTCATCGGCACAAAGTTCACTGATGGAGCGTCATTAGGCTAATTAATCTGTCAATTTCAAATATTACTTTTAAATAACTTACAAACAAAAACTGACCGTATCGCATTATTATATATTACAGGCTCGATAAGCAACATAGACGGCGCAGAATATCACTGCAATAAAACTGTGCGAAAGGTGATCAGCGGTGTCGTCGGCGCAGCGAGCTCGGTAACGTCGATTCAAGTCGCCAATCTCCTGCGACTGTTTAGGATTCCGCAAGTAAGTAAATCCTTGAATCCAATTTTTTTTAACGCCAGATATCTCGACGAAACATACACAAAATCTCTTCTATAAAATACTCTGCGAGAATTTTTCTTCTTTGGCAGAATCTCTGTCAAAAAACAGAATATTTTTAAATATTTTTACAACATTGATGTCTAATATTTGTGTGTTTCTTGATTGAATAAACTGAAAGATAAGTAACAAATAATCAAAGTTTTTTTCACAAATAACAGAAACTTACAATTTATTATTTTCTTTATAAATTAATTTGTCATAAATGTATACAAAAATTATTAAATTATTTATATTGAAAAAAAAGATATATATACTATTCTTCTTTAGGAGGAATTTGTAAAATGTTACAGTTGTTTGAAAAGCAAACGTTGAAAGATGAATAGGAAGTTCTATATATTTATTCTATATACGGCAGCGTATTTTTCATACTTTTTACAATACGCTGCCACAAAAATTCAGAACCAAACGATATTATTGCCTCTGAAGGCTGAAGGACGAAAATGCCAGGCGGCGGCAGACCGTGAAGACTTTATTCTTGACGCAAGTTTACGGAACCCGCGGTTTAAAATCTTCGTACCGTGAAATCACCTCATCCAACGCTACTCACCTTATAAGCCATTCGAGTCTGTTGGCCCATTTTAGCTTTCAGCGCTCTATTAGTTGAGGTTTAAAGGGCGCTACCATAACGCGTTATCTCCGCCCAGCTGCGAAAGTACCCGTATTGCTGTTAAACTTCCACCAACTCTGTTATTCCAATATTTGTCGTTAGTTGCCATATGAGAATAAATCAAAATGAAGCTTCGGCAACGTCACGAATCATAATCTAGCGATACACAAGAATAAAGTATAGTTCGACATATATCTTAATGAACAGCACGAACAAAGATGACACATTGAACTTTTTCTGTTCCCGTGATTCTACATTTTTATAATTAAACGCAAACGATATGCGCTAATGATAGAAATTAGAAATTACAGTCTCCTCTCTGTTAGTGACGCAGCCTGATAAAGATACTATCGATACTCGTGTACTCATTAAAGCGCAACTCGAGGACAAACTTCGACTCATTGATCATTGAATAGGGTACTTGAACTATGAGATAGATATTCTGTACGTAGTAACTTCGTAATAACAGTTCATCTAGAGCTCCTTCGCTCGAACTGCCAATAGTCGTTGCCAGCACGCGAGTTTAAGAGATTAACCTGTTTATATCGTCCACATTGTGAGGATTGCATTATACCTCGGGTCGCTGCGATAGATATAGCAGCAGAGAGGTCGAACGCGATAATGTGTGCATTTACATGCAAAGTTATGAAGATCGTATTAGGAAAGGATCAAAACAGCGATTTGTGTGCGACGACAAATGATAATGATGATCGTTAGCTCATCGAGCACGATTAATATGTGACGCAATCAATTGACGAATTAAGTAATTTACATTTATTAAAGAAGTCAGTCATTGCCGATAATTATTATTTCATTACAATTCCAAATATGCCAAATATTCCAATTACAAATATTGGAGATAATTATAAAATTATAATTATATATTACAATTGCGTTTTTTTTTCAAAATCTTGTGCGTTTTATAAAGAAAACTAGCGGCCTTCGTGTCCATCGAAACGTAATACATCTGCTGATATACGAGAAACGACGTATAATTTTTTAATAGAGATTTTCTTTTTCAAGGGTAAGTTGAGTATCCGAGGTCAAGAATAATTGCGAAAAACTCAGCTGTCGCCGATTCACGCCTCCGAAAATCCACGGCGGCAGAGTTTGAAAGAGATTTTGCGCGGATTTAAGAAAAGACGTGAAGGGATCAGACAGAATATACGTCTAAGGAAACTGCGGCGGATTTAATTTCAGCCTATAATTCCTGTGGCGGAATTTCTGTCCATTTCTGCGGGGTCGAAAGTAGGTTTGCAAGACAGACACGCGACGACGCGCAGTCCGCAGTTTTTATACAGCTGCTCGGAGTTGCGAGAAACGGCTCCCTGAAGTGCATTTCAATTGCGTCTATACAAAGTGTTCTATTTAACGTGAGCCACATAAAATATTTCCGTTGTTTGTAATAATACAGAAAAAATTTTCGAGGAAAAATTGCAGAATTTCAGAGGGCGATTATATTACGGCTAGCAAAAAATATTGTTCAAGATCATATTTTAACATTGTAATTTTTAGATTTTAAAACTATTGATATTTTTTTTAAACAGAAGAACACGTATATTTGTTAATAATAAATAATTATAATTTTTACGTGACTTGAAGTGCAGAGTTTTGTGTTTAAAGTGATTACAATCAATTTTGATAAATAAACAATATTCGCGTTCACAATAATTTTCTAAAATTACAGAAGTATTATCATTGATATTGAATCATTAAATTCGTAATACAAATCTTCTGATATTCAATTGCAGTAATGTAATATTTATGATGTAATATTATGTCATGTAATATTTATCGCATAGCATGTTTCACAATATTTGTGAAATGAACATTTAGTTATAAAAGTTTATACATTTTTAATATTTTATTATAAATATCAAATTTCGATAAATTTATTAATATCTCACGATATTATTATGTAATATGATTCCGTATCATGAAAATTGCGTTATTATCTAACCGCAAACTTATAATTCGACAATTTTTTGTTACAAACTGAATATAAAGACGGCGTATCGACGTCCATTTTTTTATTCATTGAAATTACCTCCAACAGATTAAAACTTTTCTTGTATTCGCTTCATAATAGTTTTTCTTTTTTATTTGTGCCCACTTCTGCCTGTTTCGACGCGCCCGTTAAACTAACCAGTCTTGCGAAACTTGTCGCGTCTACGATGCGCTAAACTAGGAAACTGTTCGAGAATGTATACGATGTGAGCCGTGATCGCTTTTTGCTTGCAATACAGTATTTCAAAAAGAGTTGCAAACTTTTATGAATTTCTCCATCCAGTCAATTTCATACTTTTGGTTAAAAGACGCAAAGTCGTCAAAGATATAACAAGCTCGTCTTTTCGAACAATTTAAGTGCTCGTCGCTGCTGCCGTATCGAGCAGAGCGCGAGAGAGAGAGAGAGCGAAATTTCTAATAAACTTGTTCCAAACCAATTACTCATAGCTATTATGGCACTTATGGCTACATAGATCGTTAACTATCGGAGCGTAGTTTGAATTAGGGGATATATTTAATATGGCATATAATTTATGTAAAGCATAAAGATATCAGTGGCTGTAATTTATTGTACAATATTATATAAATTATCGGCGGACAGAAATGCTATTATTATTGTTGTGGTTGTGAATTTATTGCTATTTAAATTATTATTTTAGATATATAATAATTTGTTTTGACATTATCTCGTTTCTATTGCTAAAAAGCTGTTGCACGAAGAATTCTTCTTTTTGCGGTAACAGCTGTCCGATCGAGAAGATAAGTGCCGCTTGCTCCGCAAATTACAATATTTTTCTTTCGTGCAGCCCTGCAATTTCGTTTATCCATATTCATAACAGTCTTACAAGATCGGAAAGCGCTCGATCTTCATCATTTTCGCGGCGTGGCAAGGCCTGATTAAAGTTGATCTCTTTCAATGACAGAACACGTCTCCATTATTAAGAGCTGTATTTTCCAGAATGACATTTAATCATTCGGAGGTAATCAATCTTTCAGAGATTATTAATACTTTCGGTTCACTTTCGACGAGTCGCGCGACGTTTATTTAACATTTTTGTTAATTCCTGGTATTCTTAGCATTCGGCAATGGTGGAGCTTCTCTCCAAAATGTATAACGCGTTTATATATATTCACTCGATACTGTCGACGAAAGGTTGCAAAATAAAAATAAACGTGATACATTATGCCTAACATTTAAGACACGTCCTCGCGCGGCTTAAGAGGATTTTAAATTAGCTCCGGGTGCCTCGCAACACGAAATACATTATTCATCACGTTAACGGCAGGTTATATCGACAGTATCACTACTCGTCGCGTTTACGCGCGATCCGACGCGGCTGCGGACGACCGTCTCGCTAAACGATTTCCCCGCAACTTGTCAGCACAATGACGTACGATCGACGTAGAAACATAGGCATAACACCTTGCATAAGCGCTAAGCACGTGAGCGGAAAGTGCACACGCGTCAAAGGAGGCTGCGCTATTCATGTCAATCAGTGTATACACGTGCAACGTGTGCCGACATGATCGACAAGCGAACAGAAGTCAGCTCACGGGATTCGGCGGTATGCGCGTACAAAGACTCAAGCGGGCAGTTACGCAATGTAACAATAACGAGACAAGGAATTAGAGATATGCAAAAATTTCTATTGCACAGATAGATCGCTTCAAAAATAGGGACTTCTTTTACCGGTATCCATTTTTTGCCTGAAAAGTGGCAAAAAGTGATAATGTCGGAAAATATTTTTATTGACAATATTGTGTTATTTGCAAAATATTGCTAATGGAAATTGTCTTAAAAACGATGGAGCTTTTATATGCCTTTAATAACAATAAATCACAGTATCAATGTTGAATTACTTCGCGTCCAAACTCTTCAGTTGACAACTCGAAAATAATATTTCCGTGTCTCTCAGTAAAATAAAGTGTATTTTAAATCAATTAAAGTATATTTTTATTAACAATATTGTGTTATTTATAAAATATTGCTAATGGAAATTGTCTTAAAAACGATGGAACTTTTATATGCCCTTAATAACAATAAATCACAGTATCAATGCTCAATTACTTCACGTCCAAACTCTCCAGTTGGCAATTCCAAAATAATATTTCCGTGTCTTTCTGCAAAACAAAGTGTATTTTAAATCAATTAAAGTAATCATGATCTAATAAATTGCACTTTATCAAATGATTCCGCGTGAAAACTTTTCTTCCGGAAAGAAAATTAATGCTGCAATGTGTATAACAGAACTGGCGAAGTTTGCCCAAAGTAGTAATTTACCTAAAGATAAGAGTAAAAGTTGAAAGT